AGCAAAAGAAATTACCATCAGAGTGAACAGGCAGCCTACAGAATGGGAGAAAATTTTTACAATCTACCCACTGACAAAGGACTTATACCCAGAATCTACAAAGAACTTAAACAAATTTACAAGAAAAAAACCCCATCAAAAGTAGGCAAAGGATATGCACAGACAGTTCTCAAAAGAAACCATTTATGCAGCCAACAGACACATGAAAAAATGCTCATCATCACTGGTCATCAGAGAAATGCAAATCAAAACCACAATGAGATACTATCTCACACCAGTTAGAATGGCGATCATTAAAAAGTCAAGAAACAAAAGATGCTGGCTGGAGAGGAGGTGGAGAAATGGGAATGCTTTTACACTGTTGATGAGCATGTAAGTTAGTTCAACCATTGTGGAAAACAGTGTGGCAGTTCCTCAAGGATCTAGAACTAGACATTCCATTTGACCCAGCGACCCCTTTACTGGGTATATACCCAGAGGATTATAAATTATGCTACTATAAAGACACATGCATACATACGTTTGTTGTGGCACTACTCATAATAGCAAAGACTTGGAACCAACCCAAATGTCCATCAGTGATAGACTGGATTAAGAAAATGTGGCATATATACATCATGGAATACTATGCAGCCATAAAGAAAGAATGAATTCATGTCCTTTGCAGGGACGTGGATGAAGCTGGAAACCATCATTCTCAGCAAACTATCACAAGGACAGAAAACTAAACACTGCATGCTCTCACTCACAGGTGGGAATTGAACAATGAGAACACTTGGACACAGGGTTGGGAAAATCACACACCGGGGCCTGTCGGAGGGTGAGGGTCTGGGGGAGGGATAGCATTAGGAGAAATACCTAATGTAAATGATGAGTTGATGGGTGCAGCAAACCAACATGGCACATGTATACCTATGTAATAAACATGCACGTTCTGCATATGTACCCTAGAACTTATAATAAAAAAAGAAACATCTATTAAACAATTTTCATTAAAGCCTTAAAATCAAATCTTGACCCTAGGTATTCAAAAGAAAGTCAGAAGTTAAATCAATTAAAAATTATCAGTTGTATGTCATAGAGCAAATTAGAACAGGTGCAAAATTAATATCTTTGTATTATTAATTACCTAGGTATTGTATTCTAACTTGCTTTGCATCATTTTCATACTGTTATTTTTCCATGTACTTTCATGTACTTTTACATATCAATATTCATTAATGTAAAAAGTGCAAAAGAAAAAAAAATTTATTGATGCAAACAATGTTGACTGAAAGCTAGAGACAAAAGAGTACATTTAAACAAAGTTCAAAAATAGATTAAACTAACTCTAGGTGCACATACTGTGTTTTTCCATTTACATAACATCCAAAAGCAGGTAAAACTAATTTTTAGTGACAGAAGTACAGATACTGGTTATTTATGAAGGGTAAAGGGCATGGTGGCTGGAAGAGACCTAGGGGAATTTTAAACTGTTGGTAATATTTTGTTTCTTAATTTGGGTCTTTGTGAAAATCCTTTAAGCTGTAACTTGCAATGTGTGTATGTCATAGCTCCATAAAGATTTTATTTAAAATACTCATGAAGTTAGTTTAAATGAAAAATAACTATGAAACAAAAACTATTAAAATATATTTTTAGAAAAGTACTCAGAATTAAATTTTTTTCCATTTAAAATAGTAAAATTAATTTGTTTCTTCATTTCAAGAAATAGAATATTCTAGCATGTTTGCTTTAGATTATTCTAGCATGTTTGCTTTAGATTACTTAGTTTCAAATCAAATATTTTAAAAGTTTTTGTTTAATACCTAAAAATATTTTGTTATTTTGCTTTCACAAGTTATAACATTTCTAATACCATAGGGATTTAAATAAACAGAATATGTATTTGCACATCTGTGTCCCAGCATTAGGAAAACATTTGGCTAAAATTTAATCATTACAGCAAGCCTTATTCTATTCTATTTCTATAATAATTTTTTCAGTATTTGACATATACCAGGTTGTCATGCTGTGTATGTTCAACTTAATGTTTACAACAACCTCTGAAGTAGAAAGGAGGTATTTCTGCTGCAAACGTGAAATAACCTAGCCAAGTTCACATAGTGACAAGGCAAAACTTTTAATATGCATCCTCTAAATATTCCAAGATTGTGTCCATTCTGCCTCAGACTTGGAAATGCTTTTCAGAGATATTGTCTCTGAAATTTAACATATGTCAAAATAGACATGAAATTAATGCTCTAGGCCGGGCGCGGTGGCTCAAGCCTGTAATCCCAGCACTTTGGGAGGCCGAGATGGGCGGATCACGAGGTCAGGAGATCGAGACCATCCTGGCTAACCCGGTGAAACCTCGTCTCTACTAAAAAAATACAAAAAACTAGCCGGGCGAGATGGCGAGCGCCTGTAGTCCCAGCTACTCGGCAGGCTGAGGCAGGAGAATGGCGTAAACCCGGGAGGCGGAGCTTGCAGTGAGCTGAGATCCGGCTACTGCACTCCTGCCTGGGCCACAGAGCCAGACTCTGTCTCAAAAAAAAAAAAAAGAAAAAAAAAGAAAAGAAATTAATGCTCTAAGAATTGAGTGCTGGAATGCAGAGTATGTAGATACATTAATGATGCAAAATAATCCTGATAATACTGATACAAACTAATAAACTGATTATGCCATCCCTTATTTAAAATTATCTGGTGGCTTCCTTTCCGTAGCTACTTTGCTCTGCCCAACTTTGTAGTTTTGTATTTCCTGTGCCTAAAAGATCCTGCTTTCTTTACTTACCTATTACTTGCTTTCCAACACTAAGGTTTAACATCAGGTCTTTTCAAGATCATTAGTTGTTTGTTATCCAGCCCAGTCTTTCCTGATCTAGCTGTCTCTCTTCTGTGGTTCCATAATACTTAATAAATCTATTTATAATTTTACTTATCTTCACACACTAACTCTTTCTTTTGAGACAGTTTTGCTCTTGTCACCCAGGCTGGAGTACAGTGGCGCAATCTTGGCTCACTGCAATCTCTGCTTCCTGTGTTCAAGTGATTCTCCTGCCTCAGCCTCCTGAGTAGCTGGGATTACAGGCACCCGCCACCATGCCTGGCTAATTTTTATATTTTTAGTAGAGATGGGGTTTCACCATATGGGCCAGGCTGGTCTTGAACTCCTGACCTTAGGTGATCCACCTGCTTCGGCCTCCCAAAATGCTGGGATTACAGGTGTGAGCCACTGCTCTGGGCCTAACACTACTAGTCTGAAGCAGAAGGCCTTGATTTTATTTTCTTGGTACCGAACACGTAAATGACAAATTTATGAATGTAAGGCTGGAAAGTAGAAATTAGAATCAGTTCAAGTAAGTTCTTGAGTATGAGACTCAAGAATGTTTGCACTTTAGTTTGCTATATACTAATTAGCCACTAAAGGTTTTTGAGGATAATAAAACATTATATATACTATAGAATATTTTAAAAGGGGAAATATGAATATGGGGAAAACTGGCCAAGAAACTGTTGAAATAGTCTAATTGGTTAGTGATACAGTTTTGAGCTGAGGTGATGACACTTACAAAGGAAAAAATAGAGATGATGAACTGATTGACTTGGCAACTGGTTGGGTGCAGGTTAAAGAAGAAAATGGAATATACAGTTAGGGAAGGCCAATGGTACAGGAGAAGGAAAGACAGATTTGCAAAACAATTTTCAGTCTCAGAGATAATACCTGCCATTTTTGTTTTCAGTGAATTACTTCAAATAATCTTGGGTAAACTGTTCTGTTGCAGTCACATAGGATATAAAGTAACCTATAGGTTAATAAAGTATGATACTGGCCGGACGCAGTGGCTCACACCTGTAATCCCAGCACTTTGGGAGGCCAAGGCGGGCAGATCACTTGAGGACAGGATTTTGAGACCAGCCTGGCCAACATGATGAAACCGCGTCTGTACTAAAACTACAAATACCAGCTGGGCGTGGTGGCACGCACCTGTAGTCCCAGCTACTCGGGAGGCTGACGCATGAGAATCGCTGGAACCTGGGAAGCGGAGGTTGCAGTGAGTTGAGATTGCATCATTGCACTCCAGCCTGGGTGACAGAGTGAGACTCTGTCTCAAATAAATAAATAAATAAATAAATAAATAAATAAATAAATAAATAAAGTATGATATTAGATACACTCTTCAAGTCAATACAGAAGAGCTATAACAGTAGTCATGGGCTAATCTGTGTGTTCCTCTACCTTTAATTATGAAATCATTTTTCAGTTAAACTTCCATAAAGTTTATATAAACATCAAAGCATTCTTATGCTTAAGAACTTGCTGACAACTCTAATTCTTATCAAATCAGTAGATTTTCTAGTGGTATCTGGTAGGTGGTCAAGCTGTTTGCATATAAAATCCAACCCTTTCCCCCACGCCCAAATCCCAGCTTTGCTTTTGAAGCAAATTTTTGACAGAAGAAGCTGTAGCCCTTTGCCACTGCCTTCATTCTTCACTCCATTATTTTCTTTTGGAGATTCTGGTGGAAAAGGATTGAAACTAATCTCACTTATTTATACTTAGTTAAACATAATTCCCTTTCTACCAACTCTTCTAACTATGCTCATAAAATTTCAGAGAAATAAAAAGTAGCTCCTGGTAAAGAATTGGTTAAACACGTTTCAAGGTGTTAGAATGCATTTGGAAACTAAAAATTATCTTTTATTTAGTATGATCCAGAGCTATCATCTCGACAATTTGGAGTTGAACTGTCCCGTTTGACCAGCGAAGACCGAACTGTTCCTTTAGTGGTGGAAAAGCTCATAAACTACATTGAAATGCATGGACTGTATACAGAAGGTATTTATCGAAAGTCTGGTTCGACTAATAAAATCAAGGAGCTTCGACAGGGTCTAGATACAGGTAAGATAGTGCCCTCTATATCATAATGAAATACTTTATTTAAATAGGTCGTTTCATGCTCTTCAAGTTTTCATTACATGTCAATCCTTTCCTTAGCAGCCGGAAGAATGCGTTCTTTTCTGTGGCGCTTTGTTATCATTTTTTGGTTTTCTAAAGAGTCTTTGGTTTCATTTGGTCAATTCAGCAGACATATATTGAGCATATAATTTGTACTTGGGACAGATGTCTTTTAATTTTTGTAATAATTCAGTAAGATTGTGATACCTCTGACAAGAAAACTAAGGTACAGGGAAATTAAATAATGAGCTGCTGCTGATGATGCAAGGTGCTGTACTAATGTTTTTATAATATTCACAACAATCCTATGAATTAGGGATATTGTTATCCCCATTTACAGAAAAAGGAACTGAGACTTACAGAGGATCTTGCCCAAAGACTCATCACCAATAAGTGACCAAATTGGAGTTAACCCCAGATCTTCTGAATTCATAATGTTTCCCCTTTCTCTTTATGATTCTGACTCCAAGGGGTACTCTTTCCTGAGTATCATCTTGCCTGCCTACATTGATGACAGTTACTCAAACTGATAGTGAGTTGAGCATGTATCTTTGTAGAGCTGTAGTTTTAGTACTGGAATTCATGCTGGGGATTGACTTTAGTTTCATTCTCAATTTCTACACTTTATCACTGTTGGGAAGGAATAGATCTTTTTGAACCAAACAGAGTACAAAGTGTGTCCTTGTGTGGCCAAGAACCTGTGTACAGTGCTGTTTCTTATGAACAAATCAATGAGAAATGAGTATGAAAATAATAACAATGTCTGGTAAGACTCCGTCTTACCAGTTTCATCTACAAGAAAGTTCCATCTGCAAGAGACTTGGTCTACTTTAGTTTACAGGCAGTTACTGACTTTGTCTCTGATACCTTGAAATAGCACAAGTGAAAATCAGTCATCCCAAATCTTCACAGTCATCTAATCTGCATAACCTTAGGGAGTTTATAAGTGAAATGGGTAAACGTGTTTTCTTTACATTTTCTAAGCTCAATTATCACTGTCCTTTTATCTCTAAGAATTACTTAAAATCAGCCTTACTTTCAGAAAATGTCCTGTATGCGTTTTTTCATTTGTCATGTAAAACATTGCTACTCAAAGTGTGGTCTGAGGACAAAGCCATAGCAAGAGAAATATGGAAATTGAGAGCAAGCATGTAGAGACGTTTATAGCAGTTTAACAATACTTCAGCATCAAAATATTTTATTTATTTATTTATTTAGAGACAGTTGCTCTGTTGCCCAGGCTGTAGTACAATGGTGCAACCTTGGCTCACTGCAACCTCTGTCTCCCGGGTTCAGGCAATTCTGCCTCAGCCTCCCAAGTAGCTGGGATTACAGGCGTGTGCCACCACACCCAGCTAATTTTTATATTTTTAGTAGAGACAGCTTTCACCATGTTGGCCAGGCTGCTTTCTGTCTCCTGACCTCAAGTGATCTGCCCATCTCAGCCTCCCAAAGTGCTGGAATTACAGGCATGAGCCACCGTGCCTGGCCATGATCTTTTATTTTACACACTTCACTCCACAACAGATTTAGAAAACAAATCAACAAGACGTATTCTTTCACCACAGTTAGAAGCACAGTTCCAAAGCATGGAATTACATTGTGGAAAATAGGTTAGTCAGTTTGATTAAGAAACATGAAGCCGGCCAGGCATGGTGGCTCACGCCTGTAATCCCTCCACTTTGGGAGGCCGAGGCAGGTGGATCACCTGAGGTTGGGAATTTGAGACCAGCCTGACCAACGTGGAGAAACCCCAGCTCTACTAAAAATACAAAATTAGCCAGGCGTGGCAGCACATGCCTGTAATCCCAACTACTCGGGAGGCTGAGGCAGGAGAATCACTTGAACTTGGGAGGCAGAGGTGGTGAGCCAAGATCACAACATTGCACTCCAGCCTGGACAACAAGAGCGAAACTCCATCTCAAAAAAAAAAGAAACATGAAGCCTTCCTTTAATGATGATAGTTTGTAAAGTGAATTATTTGAATCTCTTTGCATGTTTTGGCTTTGTTAATCTAACTCTTGTCTCTAAATAGATGCTGAGAATGTAAATCTAGATGACTATAACATACACGTCATTGCAAGTGTATTCAAACAATGGCTTCGAGATTTGCCCAATCCTCTCATGACCTTTGAACTCTATGAGGAATTTCTTCGAGCTATGGGTAAGCATAGGCTTCCTGGGTTAGAGAGAAGGCCTGTAGTTGGGAAAGAAATGCCACCTTCAAGCCGTCCTCTAGTGGTTTAATTATTATAGATCTAAAGGTAAACTTTTGACAGTGAATACAAAACTGCCAGTATACTGTCACCTATTCATATGTTGACTTTTTAGAGACTCATCAAAATGTTAGTGTCCTAAAAATGTTCTGAGTGAGCCACTTGGTTGCTTCTTACAAAGAAATTGAAAGACTGGGGTTATAAAACAGATTAAAATATTAAAAATAAGAGTTTTAAGATTAGGCTTATGTTCATTTAAATTGGAAATCTAGGCAAGAACTATGTGTAAAGCTGGCTGTTTTATGCCAAGCCTAACAGGTTTCAGAGTGTAGTTTCTCAGTGCTATAGGTGCATAGGATATTGATAAAGGCCTTTCTAGAGGTATTTAGGCCCTGAGGATTCATAAATTATGTTGAATTTAATGAGAAATCAATCTGCTACACAATGACTGAAAAACTAGAACATCTCTTTCCCCTTGCTGTTATTAAGGATTACTGTGATACAGGTTCAAACTAAGGAGACTGTTTATGAATACAGAACTCAAGCTAAAGGAGTTAAATAGTTAGTTTGAGTTGCTCTTCTCCAGCCTTACAGGTACAACTACTCCTGAAACTGTATAGCCAGCCTCCTTTGCTTCATAGTGTCTGGGAGGAAGATACACTGTATAAGAGGGGATATTTAGTCTTAGTTTCTGCTCTTAATGTTTTTAGGCCTTCAGGAGAGGAAGGAGACAATCCGTGGTGTATACTCTGTGATTGATCAACTCTCCCGAACTCATCTCAATACACTGGAACGCCTCATCTTTCATCTAGTCAGGTAACTTTAAGAAGCAAGGAAACGATTTTTAATAGTTTCTCTTGGATTATTTTACATAGATAAGGAATTTCTCCTTTGGAAAACTGACAAGTATTTATATTTTTTCTTCTATTTATAAAGTCAGTGTCTCAAACAGGTGGTTAGGATACCTTGGAGCAGAAATCTTCAGCTGAGCTGGAATGCATGGCAGTTGCTTTTCTGCCCTTGTCTGAACCATGTAGCAGCTTCAGCCTCATGGTGGCACTGTGTAGTTTAGCCTGTTTTCTAACAGCTGAACTAGAAAGGATATATAATCTACTGAAATGACCTAATTCATATGAGGGGTTCAGATCGTTCTCAGAAATTAACTGACCAAAGAGGTGTCAGGAGTAGTGTCTCTTCCCCTGTATGTAAATATCAGCAGTAGTTGAGAAGAAAGCCATCTTTATTTGTGGTTAAAGCTTCTACTCTGCATTCTTTTTTGTTGTTGTTGTTGTTGTTGAGACACAGTTTCACTCTGTCACCCAGGCTGGAGTGCAGTCTCAGCTCACTGCAACCTCCGCCTCCCCAGTTCAAGTGATTCTCCTGCCTCAGCCCCCTACATAGCTGGGATTACAGACGTGCGCCACCACACCTGGCTAATTTTTGTATTGTTGATGGAGACAAGGTTTTGCCATGTTGGCCAAGCTTGTCTCAAACTCCTGACCTCAAGTAATCTGCCCACATCAGCCTCCCAAAATGCTGGATTACAAGTGTGGGCCACCATGCCTGGCTGATTCTGCATTCTTTGGACTTCAGTTCATCTAGTGATCTTGGCCTGGAGCAGGTAGGTCCCAGATTTCCCTTGGGAAGCTATCGGCTGACCTAGACTGCTTCAAGGAAAGAACAAGTGAAAATACATTTTCCAGAGACAAAGGAACAACTTGGGAAAAGTCTGCAGACACTTAAACTTACTAGAAGTACTTATATCCTTCTAGTACTATGCAGTTCATGTCATACTGTCTTCTTTTGCTCATCTCTTCTGCCTTTTCCTTATGGTGCTCCCTTTTTATTCCTTAGTCACTTGTTTTTTGTTTTGTTTTATTTCTTAGGATTGCTCTACAGGAAGACACTAATCGAATGTCTGCTAATGCTTTGGCCATTGTGTTTGCGCCCTGCATTCTCCGCTGCCCTGACACCACTGACCCACTACAAAGCGTACAGGACATCAGTAAGACTACCACGTAAGGCCAGTTACCATAACCTCTACAAGACCTCAGGGACTTCTGACTACGTAGTCACTGTATCCAGATATCAGACATAGTGAATGGGTTCATAAATTCAGGTGTTTTTAAGAAGATTGTTGGACACTGCTGGATTTTCTTATGCTGAGGATGCAAACTCCTGGATTCAACTGAGCATCATTTGTCTTAAAGTGTCTTATTTTTTAAATCTGGCTTTTCTTTAGGACTGCTTATAGTTTCTAAATAGGTTTTGGATTTCCATTTTACCAAATTATGAACACTTAGTATCTTCCTGTAATCTAGCCTAAGTGTGGTCTTATGGCTCTGAATCCTTTGGTCTTAATACTTCAGTATTCTTGTATTTCACCTTGGTCTTTTTTCTTGGGGCTCTGCTTTCCTTCTAATGTGGTTTTCTTTTGCTCTCCTTAATCTTGACTGCAAAAGGAACTTTAAAAAAATATGTCACTGTTTGGATCCCATCCCCATAGAGTCTGATTTAATTGGTTTAGGGTATAGCCTGGGCATTGGGATTTGTAACTGCTCTTTATTTTTTATTATTTTTTATTTTTTTATTTTTTTTGAGATGGAGTTTTGCTCTTGTCGCCTAAGCTGGAGTGCAGTGGCACAATCTTGGCTCACTGCAACCTCCACCTCCCAGGTTCAAGTGATTCTCCTGCCTCAGCCTCCCAAGTAGCTGGGATTATAGGCATGCACCACCATGCCTGGCTAATTTAGTATTTTTAGTAGAGACAGGATTTCACCATGTTGGCCAGGTTGGTCTCAAACTCCTGACCTCAGGTGATCCACCTGCCTCTGCCCCGCAAAGTGCTGGGATTACAGGCGTGAACCACTGTGCCCGGCCGTAACTGCTCTTTAGATGGCTTCTAAAGTGCAGCCAAAGTTGTGAACCACCATTCTAAACCTTGTCTCTGAGTTTGTCAAGCAAGGGATGTTAATTTTTTCCTTCATCTTTCAACTGTCTAAAACAAAAACAGTCTGTGAGTGCTATACTTTATTTATTTACATTCTTAACAGTTTTTTCTCTTTCCTCCTGTTTCAGTTGTGTGGAGCTAATCGTTGTGGAACAAATGAATAAATACAAGGCTCGTCTCAAAGATATCAGTAGCTTGGAATTTGCTGAGAATAAGGCAAAGACCAGGTTGTCACTGATTCGTAGATCAATGGTAAGATGCAAGACATGAAATAATGGAAAAATGGGAGTTGTCTTGGGAATTTAATTGTGCATTTGTGGTGTATACAAGGATTATTATCAGAATCTTTTTTATAAAACAACAAGTAAAAAGTCACCAAATCTCGGGGTGCTATGGCTTCCTCATGTTTGATCTGCTCTTTAGTTACATTATAGAATCTATGTGAATAAGTGTGTAGCATTTTTCAAATCAAGTATTTAGATAAAATGCTGGTGTCTTAATAATCTGCCCTGCTTTCTTTTCATGTCCTTTCTATGAAAACGTAGTCCTTTTCTAACTTTTTTCCCTACTTCCTTCCACTGTGTCTGTTCCCAGCTTTAATTGTGTCACTTTTGGTAGTCCTGCCAAGACTCCTGGGATGTAGAGAATTTAATCATTTGTAACTGAATTTAAATGGAATCATTTGATTCTTAAGTAAATGGAATTCCATCTGTGAGTCTACTGTAATGAAAAAGTATTTCTTTGAGTTTAAGGTTAGGTTTTGAGACAGTCCTTGTAAAACTGATAATTTATTTCCTTGGTTTGCCCACTTTTTAATATCTTCCTTTGCAACCAGTAACATATAACTCCAGTTCTCAATGATCACTAATCAGTAGCATCAGCCCTATTGATTAGTGCTTATTGAGAACTGGAGTTATCCATATATGTTACTCTGAAGTCAGTTTTCAGGATAACTGGAAAACTGCTGCATTAAGGTTTAGTTATTGCCCATTTGCTACCCTTCCTCTCAGTTGTGAAATAAAATTGTGACAATGAGCATGCATTTCAGATTCCCAGTAAATCTCTAAAGAGAAGGAGGCTTCATCATGCCCTCATTCTTTCAGGGGTCCAGCAGTACTTCCTCCCATATCTTCACAGTTTGCATTTAGATTAGCACTAAAATAATTCTTTTTTCTTCCTTTACTATTTAATCTGCCTGGCACTGAATAAGTGCTTAACAAAGGTCTGTTGATTAAGGTAGCGAAGGGTCTTCTGTAAAAACAAACATAAGCATGGGCTTTTTGCAGGCAGTAAAGATATTAAATAAAACTCATCATAGGATACTATCTAAATCTTTTCCCCAGAAATTAAAAACAGAAATCCCACTTAAAAGTGAAACATTTCTGTAGTATGAATTTTCAGGAGCTCAGTTCTGAGAGGCCCAATGTAGTGGTGGCTATCCAGGCAGGAAGGGAAGAGCCTTTTGCTATAAACCTACTTTTCAAAGCAGATAGATAAGCTGTGCTTTTTTCCTGTGTTGCAGAAGATGGATATTCAGTCCATTGCAAGATTAAACCTTCTCTTTTAATGGGGCAATGACATGTACATTCTAACCTTCTGCTTTCCTTTTCATGTCCTTCCTAATCCAGAAACCTGTACTAATTGCAGTTAGATTCATGAACATTACCCGCAATTCAGTCTCGGTATGTATTAATAATGCAATGTGTCACAGCCACTCTACATTATTGTCTTTCATTCATCCAGGAATTGTTCCGCTCTGTCTATCATTCATGCCTGTCCACCCTCCATGTTTGGCCCCAAGTCAGGTTCTACTTTTTGATGAGCTTTCACTTACTTTTCTCTTAATCTCTTTTTTTAGATCCTTCATTTTCCTTCCTCTGTATTGTGTAGTTGAACAGCATCCATTTAAAATATATTGGTTTCTCCTCTTTGTCAGATGAGCCTCCTTTTGGGTTTCTTCTTTGGTTGAATCATTAAAAGGTGAAAGTTAAAAGCATTGAGATATCAAATTAATTTCTGCTCTTTGAGCTGTGTTCCCAGCAATCTTCTCTACTTTATTATTTGAAATACTTATTATTACTTTCAGCATCTCCTATCATTAGTAATGCTTATTTGTCCATTCATATCTGTCTAACTCTGATGGTGTCCTCCCAGATGTAGAAATATGGTTCTTATCCACTTAGCATTTATCAAACAGAGCTACAAATAGGAGTGAACTAATCCAAATTGGTGGACTAGTTCTAGACTTAAATATTATGGTATGCTAGAACTCATACCAGGATCTCATTACTGGTATCCCTCTTCAGTTCCATTGATTATACAAAAAAGGAATGGGATAGAAGGCTGAGAACACCAATCTGTGTGGAAAACTGTCCACCTGTGTGTAACCATTTTATTGAGGAGGCTTAACTTGTTGAGGTACTAATATAAATCAGTTTTTCTTTTTGTCTATAACTGCCTCTCAACTCCAGCCTGTCCAACTTCCTTTTCCCACTGGATGTCAATTACCTTAACAGCATCTTGAAACCAATTCTATAATTTTCAAAAATTCATTTCATTCTAGTATTTAAGAGTCAGTTCTCTTAATATTAAAACTTCAGTCAGTTTTAAATCCAGTGCTCGTCTCACTTCCTCCCAGGGCAGACTAGACCTTTACCTGGAACTTAAAACTTTGGGGGTAGGTGGGTAATTTCTGTTTGTCAGACACTTCTGCCCTTCGTCTTTCTTGACCCTTTCTCCCCTGATGTTGAGACTAGGAGGAGTGATAGGGGAGGCAGAATTCTGTATGATATCCTGGTATTGAGATGGCAGTCCACTTTCTTTGTTGTTCAACACTGCTGTTCTGGCTCATTGTCAGTAGGCTAAGTAAAGATAAGTAGTAGCTCCAGGTTACCCCTGTTGAGTCAAGATGAACTCAGATCTATCCCATTTCTGTAGGCACTGATAGTCCCTTGCAAGATTTGGTTACATCTTCTGGCTAAACCCTGGGTGTTGGCATTCACACCATATGGGAAGCTGTCAAACTCACAGGGCAGTTACAAGTTTTCCAAAATTCTAATATTTATTTGAAAGCTCGAAATTTACTCACTGACAACAAATGTCGCCATTTGTTTCACTTGCAGTAACAGATTCCCTTCATACAATTTCAAAGAAAATGTGTACCACTTAAGAAGAATAATCAAACTTTGTCAATTATTATAAATACTGTTTCATTAATAAAGCAGCTAATTTTGCTTGCAATTCAAAGAATTGCACAAATACTCTTTGTTGAGGTAACCATCAGTATGTGACAGAATGGCTGTATGTGTAATTTCCAGTTAATCATACAGAAAATTGAAAATAGGTAATTTAGCAGTTAAGAAGTAATAAAATTAATTTATACGTCTTGGTCAATGACATGAAATGAAACTGATTTTTTAAAAACTAAATGTGTGGTAGCAAAAGAACATGAAGACTGCTAGAACCGTTTGGTATCATTACCTTGATTCATGTAAAGGTGACAGCAGTTGAACCCACAATTGCTTTTATGTAATTAGCACAGATGTCAACAAGTTAAAATGACAAATAGCCTCTTAGTATAATTATGAAAATAATTTTAACATTGTAGACCCTTTGAAATGGTTTTGAGGACATCATTACACCCCAGCATCTTTGCTGGGGTTCTGTGGGGCTACACTCTGAGAACCACTGCACTGTATTACATATAATACTACCGGCTCACTGCACTTCACAGAAATATTTGTTGAGAATAATTCCTTTTCATATGCAAGATATAAACACATACAAACAGATACTAGCTGTGTTTAAAGTGCTTACTAACCCTGATTATCTGGTGAACCATAACTACAGGCAGTGGGATATGATTTTTGAACAAGCTTGGATACCTAATTATAACACCACACAAAACAACCAGTCTTTTCCAAAAAAGCCTTGGATAAAGGATCTCTCCTTACCAGGAAAGCAAATTCCTCAGGAAGTAGTCTGATAATTCATTTCCTTCCTATTTTTGTGACTTAACAAGACACTCAACAGGGATCGTCCATCTTGCCCTGAAGTGCTATTTTTAAGTAAAATTTCATTAGGGTTCTGAGATTTGTGTTTTAGCTAGCTATATATTGTTCTCTCTAGATGATGCACAGTTCCTCCTCACACATTTAACCCATAGACAAACCCTAGTAACATGTACTTTCTTTGGGTCTTAAAGTATCGTGACTTTCTGCATGAGGGTAATATATGTCTTTTTTTAAACAGTCATCAGGTTTATTAAAGGCAATGCAATTCATTCTTTCATTATCACCATGAGTCTCTTTTACTGTTTAGGCTTACTTCGATTTATAGTATTTAATTTCTTTGTGCCCATCAATCATGCCTTGCCATTCCTTCTTGCATTCTTTTGCTATCATGAGCCTTACAGAATTTTCAGAAGAAATCAAAACTCTCCTCATAGGCCTATTCATCCTAACACTATGGCATATCTTCTATTTGTCTCCATGGTTATCTTCTTAAGTCTTAGGAGAAAATGAAAAAGTGAGTTTCAACTGATTCCCTCAAATAGGGATCCTGTTTCCCTCAAATAGGTATCACTGAGATCCCCCACATTAGAGCATTTGACTCTCAATATTTGTGTAACAGTCTAAGAAGCCCATAATGGACTGGTCTCACAGAATTCTAACCCAAATTAAATAATTAAGACTGTCTGTTTCAGAATATCATTCTTAGAAAAAATAGACAATAGAATTATATACAGACTTCCTTAGACAGAGCATGGCAAATCTATATGATTAGGCGGTTGAATTTGTGGGTATTAGAAAGCATGTCCCAAAAGGAAGGAGGAAGAGACGGATCAGACGGTACTATGTGCCAAATATGGTGAAAATACCAAGGAAGAAGTACTTAATTCTGCCTGGTGGCACAGAGTAAGGCTGTAGAAGGGAAGCTAGCTCTTAAGGGATGAGTTTAAATTAATCAGATGGAGAAAGACCTACCAGTTAGTATAAGTCAACAAGGTTTAATTCTGTAAAAGGCTATGTAGCTTGCATATAAACTTGTATATGTAATTGTGCAGAAGGGAAACCTTAAATTAAAACCAAAATAGGCTTTGTTTTGAAGCCAACTCTAAAACATTAGTACTATGGGGCCTTGAAGAGTGAGCCAGGACTCACAAGGTCTCAGAGTTTAGTACTTAATGTAAATTTTGGTGCTTTATATCTTATATTTATGATAGGGAATGGGAACTAATGTTAGCTACTATT